GCTGGAGTGTTTCTCTTATGACCCTGACCCTCCTGGCTTCCTATTTCAGTCACTACATGGATGAGAAATTCCCCCGCCAAGTCTCATGTAGCATCGTATTCTCTTTGCTCTTAAGATGTACCTGGACTTGGGGGAAAGCCAAGGTTATAAGACCTGTTTTCCTTGGGAGAGGGAAGAAAACAAACACCCGCTGGGCACCTCCGGCATGACTGAGGTATCGTGGTGGGTGGATGTGGAGACTGAGGCTCAGAGAGTTTATAGAACTCTCCCAAGGTCGCGTGGCAAGCAACAGCCTGCTGGAACCAGGACTTGAATGAGCTCTCTGACGCCGGGTCCAGCGTTCTTTGCGCACCTCTAAACTGAAGCGGTCACAAACTCTGCAGAAATGTACGGCTCTCCCCCACCTGTATCAGTCCCTTTTTATAAATGCCCCATTGGCAGGTTTCCTGGTAGTAAAATGGAAGTCTGCGATCGTGTCTTCTTTTACTCTCTAGTCTCTCTAGGAGGGCTTGCGCGTGGTGTCCAGAGAAGGAAGGAGTAAGACTCCATCGGCTACAAGGAGAGCTGGTGGGCTGGGACTCGGTGCTCGTGTTGGATGTTAGGGAACTGGTTCCCCAAATCCGCAGTGCCGACCAGCGTGACAGGGCGGAGTAGGGGGGACTGACCCGATCTGTGGCGCCTCTGCCTTCAGAGAGCTTGGTTTCAGTCGAGAGAGAGAATATTCACACCTATCTACACACATCATTTAGATGAACTAACAGTTAGCGGAGACGGGCCCAAGGGGAGACCGGATGTGGGGCAGACAAGTGCCGGCATCGGGTCTCAAGCATTCACGCCAAGTGTTGGTTTAAGGAATGAGGGGCGCCTGAGGGGCTCAGTCGGTTAAGCGTCCAACTTCGGCTCAGGTCATGATCTCGTTTGTGAGTTCGAGCCCCGCGTCAGGCTCTGTGCTGACCGCTCAGGGCCTGGAGCCTCCTTCAGATTCTGTGTCTCCCCCTCTCTCTGCCTCTCCCATGCTCATGCTCTTTCTCTCAATAATAAATAAAAATGTTAAAAATTTTTTTAAAAAAGAACGAACAGAGCTTTAGAGGAGGGAGTGGACTGTAAAAGTGAGGTCAGGGAAGGTTTGGTGGTAGCCGTGGGTCCCAGACCTTACAAGATGGTGAGGTTTCAGCAGGTGTGAGGAGGGAGGGTGATGTGGGGTAAGGGTGGGTGGAGGCCCCTGGATTATGGAGGGCCTTACCTAGCAAGCTGATCGGTTTGGGTTTGGCCCTCCAGGAAGATGATAAGTAGCCACTGTAGGTTCTTGAGCCGAGAAGTGACTTAGTGAAAGCAGTGTTTTTTCTGCTGCGTGTGGGGGGTTAGATGGGCTCCGGGGAGAAACCCTATAAACATTTGTGTTTGGGGGGGTATGAGGCAAAAGCAGTGGTATCGTCAAGTCAAGGCCAACTGATGTTGCCGTAGGAACTTCGAAAAACAGGGCTCCGAGAGCATCTTTTTCTGTGTCCGTTTCTGGGAAGCAGCGAGGTTGGGGAGTGTGGAGTGGGAATTAGGGGGTTTACGTTTTACTGTCTGTACTTTCTATTAACTGCCTGTCGTTGTAGGGACAGGTTGTAGGGGTTGTTATCCTAGATCATTGTAAGTGAAGCCGCAGGAAATTTCCACTTCTTTGCAGGTCAGAACGGAAGTGCTGGCACTCACAGGGTTCCATTTAGTTGATTTTGTAAATTGTTGGAGAGAAGTAGACACAGCCTGGTCTTTGGTTTTCTGGTTGGATCGATGGGGGTGGGTGCCAGGACACTGCTGCTTTGGTTAGCCTGCACGGGCCACTGTGCCGTGGTCCTCGGGAGGTGAGGCTGTCGCAGAGACTGAGCCCAGGGCCCCGAGGTGGTGCTGCAGTGTTCCTTCCTCTCTCTGCTTGCACTCCGTGCTTAAAGACCAGGCATTCAGAGTTTGCCGATTGTATTCCTTTAAAGAAGAAAACTTTGCTCTGGACTAAGGGTTTTTAAAGGGGGCAGGGAGCTTGTGGAAGAGAGGATAAAAGTATTTGTACATTGAGGCTGTGTTTTCTCATGCCCCCACCCCTCACCCCGGTTATGCTGGGGAGGTGAGGGACTGAGCTCTCAGTCCTGACCCTGACTGCAGAGGTGTTGAATGAGCTTGTGCTCGCCTGGGCAGGGCACTGGGCATGCCTGATGGTGGAGGAGTAGGTACCGAGTTGCTCTGTCTTCATACACTTTGTGTCTGTGTCCCGGGATGGGGGCCACTTTTGTGAGTCTCTCCTGGGCTTGGGGATGGGGTGTTCTCAGTTCGCCCCCAGCCACAGGCATCAGGGCTGGACCTGAGGTGAGGTCTACTGGATCGGGCTGGGCACAACCATCCCAGGGAGCGGGCCCCCTCCCCCACCCCGACTCTGGGTACCGCAGGGCCATACCCAAACTCCATAGTTTCACTGGGACCGCGAGGCCACAGATTTCATCACAGTACACGTGTCTGTCATCCTTGGCCACCACTCAGTGTGTCAGCCCCGCCAGTGGCTGTCCTTTTCCATGGGTACCCTGTACGGCTCACTGGCGCCCCATCTGGACCCTTCTCTGGGACGCTCCTGAACCCCCTTCTGTGCTGACCTCTTCCCACCTCCCTAATGTATGCGCCCTTGTACTTTTGATTCCATGAAAACCCCTCTCCCGTCCCTTCCTTGGAGTAGAGAATTCTTTTCCATTCACTTAGCCCGACGAATATGTATAGCGGGTCCCACTCTTCGAGAAGGTCATGTTCCTTGGCATTCCCCGTGAGGAAATACACACTAGTCGTGCTGCTGTAGGTCTCTCTAACCTCTCTCGGACAAAAACAGAGGCAGATTACAGAGATTAAGAGAAGGAACAGAAGACCCGATGTCCATAGACAGTTGACTGTAAATGGGAGTGTTAAGCTCCTAAATGTACGGCATGTGAGAAGACCAGCCGGTCCAGCCACTGCTTGTCATCTCATCTGACACCAGTGTCTGGATCATCTCAGAACAGAGTGTCCATTGTAATTAAAAGACAGAAAGCATCCTGTGCAAATATGCTGGGCCAAATCACGCATCCAGGCAAAACTGGGGTCCCGGCTACGATTCAAATGAACACAAAAATAATGATCTTTAACTTCGTTTTATTTTTTTTAAGGTTTTTATTTATTTCTAGAGAGAGAAAGAGACAGCATGAGCAGGGGAGGGTCAGAGAGAGAGGGAGTCACAGACCGAAACAGGCTCCAGGCTCTGAGCTGGCAGTCAGCACAGAGCCCGACGCGGGGCTCGAACCCACGAACCGCGAGATCATGACCTAAGCGAAAGTCGGACGCTTAACCGACCAGGCGCCCCCTTTAACTTCGTTTTAAAAGAAGCATAAACATCAGATGCCTACATGTAGGATAGGACGCGTGGACCCTTTGGGGTAATGTAAGTGTCCGCAGCCCACCCTCATGGTTTAAGTCAGTGACAGATTCTGTCTGACCTGGACAGAAACAGAAATTGAAACACTTTTGCCTGCCTCATTCTGGCTGGGCACGGTTGATCAGGAAATACAATGTCTTGCTTATTCATTTATGAGGTATATGAGGAAATACATTGAGAATAAGCATATTTTTTTATTTAAAAATTTTTAAATGTTTATTTTTTGAGAGAGAGAGACAGAGTGCAGGCTGGGGAGGGGCAGAGAGAGAGAAGGAGACTCAGAATCGGAAGCAGGTCCAGGCTCTGAGCCGTCAGCACAGAGCCCGACACGGGGCTCGAATGCACGACCTGTGAGATCATGACCTGAGATGAAGTCAGACGCTTAACTGACTGAGCCCTCCAGGTGCCCCAAGAACGAGTATGTTTTCATGATTCAAGCTTTCCTTGAGGAAAAGCCATTTGGAGGAGAAAGTTTAGGTACCTACACTGACACTTATTTAAACTTTTTTTTTTTTTTTTGCAAGCCCTGGTGTCAGAGAATCTGAGTCAGAGCTTTAAGAAATACCTACCCCATTGTGTTGGTCCGTAAGTTCTTGTGATGCCAGGTGCATTGTGCCTCACCAATCTAATACATTCCCACTGAAATGATCCCAGCAGACAGAAGAGATACTGAGACGCCAAACTCTGCCCTTACTGTGTGCCAAACTCCCCTTTAAGTGAACTGCAATCATTTTCCCATTTGCTCTTCACAAAAAGGGAAGGAAGCTCTTCTCACTCCTACATCCCCGCTGAAAAGACAGAAACTTGAGTAGCTTGCCCACATTCACACAAGTAGTGGCCATGCCAGGATTCAAATCCAGATTTGCCTTGGAGTCAGTGGCCATCGCCTCTTCCCATACCACCTCACCTCCAGGGAGCTGAAAGTCAGTCTGAGAAAACTCTTCTTGGCTAAGAGGTCGGTGAGAGTTGGGTTGTTCATAGTTCCGGAATGTTCTGACCTGCTGTTGGTATCTCCTGGGAGGCAAACGTTGGCCCTTTGATCTCGGTTGTACATGGTTGAGAGTCGGCTCACTTCAGGGTGGCAGAAGCTGTTTCCAGGGTCAGGCCTTGCCTAGTGAGGACTCTCAACGGGGGGCCGTGCTGGGGGGACCTGGGAGGCACGCAGGAGCGACCCAGGCCCGAGGCTGCCTCTGTCCTGCGATCCCGGTCTCCTTCAGGGGAGTCTGCGGATAAGATCTCAAGTGCGCAGCCTCCATCACTTCAAACACACCCTCAGCAATCACACCTATAAACCGGCATAGAATCCGTGACCTTTAGCAAAGTTTTGGCGAAGGCCAGTGGGCCCTTGGAACCCATCACGACTGACACAGTGTTGTCATTTTCCTCTTGCAGGACACCGAGGCCTATGCGACCATTCTCTGAAGTCTTTAAGCTCGAGGATCACGGAGCGGAAGCTGCAGGGCACGTGGCTGCCCGGCGGCCGCGGGAACCTGGAGAAGCCACTCCTGGGGCCGCGCGGCTCTGTCGTGCCCGTGTTCAGCCCTCAGAACGGCCCTCACCCCGCCCACGGCGAGGGCAGCCCGCTGAAGCCCCGGGTGGTGACCGTGGTGAAGCTGGGCGCGCACCCGCTCCGGAAGGTCACCCTGCTCCTCAACCGACGGTCGGTGCAGAGCTTTGAGCAGCTCTTGGCCGACATCTCCGAGGCCCTGGGCTTTCCCAGGTGGAAGAACGATCGCGTGAGGAAGCTCTTTAACCTCAAGGGCAAGGAGGTCAGGAGCGTCTCGGACTTCTTCAGGGAAGGGGACGCCTTCATAGCCATGGGCAAAGAGCCGTTGACCCTGAAGAACATTCAGGTCGCTGTAGAAGAGCTGTACCCCAGCAAAGCCCGGGCCCTGACCCTGGCCCAGCACAGCCGGGCCCCCTCTCCCAGGCTGCGGAGCAGGCTCTACAGCAGGGCTCTGAGGGGGGGTCACCGCTGTGGGGAGGCGGACAGCGCCCAGGGCCGGGGGGAGGCCGTGGAGCCGGCGCTGGGGGACAGGGCGAGGCCCCAGAAGCAGTGGGGCGCGGGCAAGTGGGAGCCCGAGCCGGCCGGGAGGCCGCCCAGGGAAGCCACTCTGGGGAGGCCTGCGAGCGGGGAGAAGCACCTGGGGGTGGAGATCGAGAGGACGTCGGGGGAGATCATCCGATGCGAGAAGTGCAAGAGGGAGAGGCTGTCCCTGGGGACCAGCGAGCTGGACCTGGGCAGGGGCCGCAGGGCCGAGGCGGCCGAGAAGCTGGTGAGGGCCAGGAGCTGCCGGCGGTCCCCCGAGGCCAGCCCTGCAGCCGGGGGGGAGGGGCGGAAGGGCGAGGGCCCCAGGAGCAGCCCCAGGACCCCCGGCAGGGGCCGGGACCCGAAGGACGACAGGGGCCCCGCGGGTCAGGAGGGCCGCGCCGAGGCCGCGGCCGAGGCCGGGCGGGAGCCGGGGCGAGACGAGGCGCCGCGGGACGCGGGCAGGGAGGCCAGGAGCAGGGTCAGGGAGGGCGGCTGGCCGCGGCGGGAGGCGCAGGTGGACCCCGCGGCGCTGCCCGGGCCCCGCGCCCCGCCGGACGCCGGCCCGGAGCGGCCGCCCTGTGCGCATGCGCCGGGGGCACGGAGGCCGGCGGGGCGCGCGGTGCGGGAGCCCCGGGGCGGCCGCAGGCGGAGGCCCGCGGGGCTCCTGGCGGCCGACGTGCACCAGCACTACGAGGCGGGCCGCGTGCTGGGGGACGGCAACTTCGCCGTGGTCAAGGAGTGCCGGCACCGCGAGACGCGGCAGGCCTACGCCATGAAGATCATCGCCAAGGCCAAGCTCAAGGGCAAGGAGGACATGGTGGACAGCGAGATCCTCATCATCCAGAGCCTCTCGCACCCCAACATCGTGAAGCTGCACGAGGTGTACGAGACCGAGGCGGAAATCTACCTGATCATGGAGTACGTGCAGGGCGGGGACCTCTTCGACGCCATCGTCGAGAGCGTCAAGTTCGCCGAGCGCGACGCCGCGCTCATGCTCATGGACTTGTGCCGCGCGCTCGTGCACTTGCACGACAAGAGCATCGTCCACCGGGACCTCAAGCCCGAGAACCTGCTGGTAAGCCCCGCCGGCCCGGTGGTCGCGAAGGACGCCCCCCAGCGGTCAGCCCCCCCCCGCCCCCCGCCCCCCGCCCCCCGTCCTGCGCCTGGAAAAGACCCCTTCCAGTTTAGATACGATGAGAGTTGCTTCCTCGTTCCTGGGAGGAAAAGGCTTTCACCGTGGCAGTGACCAGGCGGACATAGCTTCCGGGGCATTTGCACGTCCTCTGGTCTGGGGGGCAGGGGTGTCTACCAGCAGCAGCTTCCCCCGGGGCTTTGCATTGCCCTCCACCCGAAATGCCCCCTGGCCCTTTTGAAGATGACAGCTAATCAAGGATATTCAGAAGGCTCAGCACTGCAGGGGCCCCTCCCCGTGTGAGGAGGATGTCGGACGGAGGCTGGCCCCGGAGTTAGGTAACTGAGTCTGAATCCTGGCTTTCTGAGTTGCTTGCTGTAGGATAGGTCTTTCACCTCTCTGGGCCTGTTTCCTCATTTATAAAAGAGAAATAGCGATAGTGCTTGTCTGGCAGGGTTGAAGGAAGATGGGGCGCAGGACAGAGGAGAGCAGCCCCTGATGGCCGGGAGCTGGCCTCACACACACGGCTCAGCCATACCGCTTGCCTGTTGAACATAAATAGGGGCCCCCAAACACCACTGTCAGATAAAGATGATCTGGGACCGTGATAGGTTAAGACCAAAGCCAGGGCCTTTTATAATCACGTCCAAATGCACAAATACGGTTATCCAAACCACAAATATGGCCCCTTTCAGCTACTCTGAGTGGCTGCCTCATTTCATCCCTCCCCTCTCCTCGGTAAGAATTACTAAGACACCGAATCGTTGAACGACCCTCACTTCCTGACAGTGTCCACTTCCAAGCAAAGTCCTGCTTTCTCGTACCCTCCCCCAAGTCACCTAACAATCCAGATCCTAAGGTAAGTCCTCTGAACACCCCCTCACTTGGATGCGTGGCCCCCGCGGTGTGGCATTCTCTCTCGGTGCAGCGAGCCAGTAAATGCAGTGTTCCTGAGCTGCACACGTGTTCCCGGTGGTCTGTTAGGACAGCGTGCTTCACAGGGTCACCGTCTGGGACCTTTGTCTCCCTTTCTTCATAGCCCAGATCACCACCTGATACGTCCCCTATTCATTCTTCTGGTTTCTTTCTCCTCGTACTAGAAAGCCAGTTCTCTGCCAGCAGGTGCTTTGTTTTATTCACACTCTACCCCCAGACCTAGAACAGTTCTGTCACATGGGGGACCTTCTTTGCATCTTAGATGAATGAATGGGCTCAGACCATAGCGTGCTGCCTGAGAAACAGCAGGCATTCCGCCCGCAGTGGCCACTGTCGTGCTGTAGAAGTGACTCGGATGTTAAGGTGCATGTTGTGAGCAGGTGTCCAGGGCCACGTTGCTGCAGATGGAGCGATAGTGAGTGGGGGAAATGATCTCGATGAGCCACATTATTTGTTTCTTTCTGGCATCGTGCTAGCTTGCTTTCTTTAATTTCACGGCTGTAGACCCAGCCTGGGAATCTCCTTCCCCGGCGCCTTCATCTGTCTGTGAACGGCTCCCACACGCAGCAGAAACACCGAGTGAATCAGGCTAATTATCTGGTGACATGAGTTCTGTGCTGACCACCACGTCAAGGGACCTTGGGTTTGCCCGAATTTCATAGGATTGAAGAGGCACTTTGGTTGCCTGAGAGACCCGAAGTCCTGTCTGATGTCTCCCTTTGAAAAAATGTCACTTCTGCATTAGCCGAGTGTTCCCAATCTCTCTTCCCTCGCTGTTTGATTGTTTCTGCTATTTTTGGGGGTCTGAGCCCCTGTGGTTTCCATGTGTGGTGCGCGGTGCTTTGTTTCTAATGCACACTTTGGAATGAGCCTCTGGATTGTCTAAGCAGAAGAAATGCTGATTAGAGGCCTGGGTGGGTCCCCCTGAGCTGAACATTTTGGGCACATATCTAATAAAGCTTTAATGGTTATGCAAACCCTTGAGTATGTGGAATTAGATCATTTATCCTATAGGATTGTTTTTTTGGGGGGGGATGTCGGTCACCTAAGCTCACATTCTCTCAACAGGGTCCCCAGAGCCCGTGTGTTGAGCTAGCGTTATCTCTCGAGCAGCAGAGGCTGTTAGTTGCGTTCAGGGTCATGCTTGTCAGCAATTCTTATTTATTTTTATTTTTTTAGGCATTTATTTTTGAGAGAGAGTGAGTGGGGGAGGGGCAGAGAGAGAGGATCCCAAGCAGGCTCCACACTGTCAGTGCAGAGCCCGGTGCAGGGCTCGAAGTCACGGACTGTGAGACTGTGATCCGAGCTGAAATTAAGAGGCAGACGCTCAACCCACTGAGCCGTCCAGGCGCCCCTGCTTCTCAGCAGTTTTTAAAGTGGAGAAAGCCACCGGTTTAGATTTCAGGGAGAAGTTTCCTTGAGGAATTAGAAAAAGTGCAAGGAATATGTTTCATGTGGACAAGCTAACTTCCTTTGAGAGGCCATTTGGCAACTCTTCATGGATCTAAATGTCGGTACAGGTGTGGTTTTGGTGCCCTTAGGGGCAGTGACGTGTGTGTGTGTGTGTGTGTGTGTGTGTGTATTCTAAGAGGCACAACTTCAGGGTAGCTATCATTTTTCAGTCTCAAATATGTGAGTTATTTATTGGCGTTGATTGTAACTTATATTTAGACCCTTCTCTCTTTTCTGAGTTCGGAGAAGTCTCACTTGTTCTTCCTTCCTTTTTTTTTTTTAATAAAACCTTTTTTTTTTTTTGTGGTGGTGGTGCTATGGGTCTTTCAGAAACTGCAAAAAGCTACGTAGCTGAGCCATCTTTTGTGAAATAGGTTAATACCTTTTCTGTCCTGTGGACAGTTTGTCAGTTTGCATTTACCTTGCCCTGAACAGGTCTGTCACATTTAGAAGCCATGTTGGTCCTTTTTCTGGGTGAGTAAAGTTCAACATACGTTACGTCAAAAGTCTAAATCATCTAGGGGTGCCTGGGTGGCTTAGTCGGTTAAGCGTCCGACTTTCACTTAGGTCATGATCTTGCAGTTCGTGGGTTCGAGCCCCGCGTCGGGCTCTGTGCTGACNACTTAGGTCATGATCTTGCAGTTCGTGGGTTCGAGCCCCGCGTCGGGCTCTGTGCTGACTGCCAGCTCAGAGCCTGGAGCCTATTTCAGAGTCTGTGTTTCCCTCTCTCTCTGACCCTCCCCTGCTCATGCTGTCTCTCTCTCTCTCTTTCCTAGAAATAAATAAATTAAAAAAAAAAGTCTAAATCATCTTGAATGTCAGTGATTTTTGGCTTTTTAGACAGAGCTGTGGACAGAGCCGGATTTGACAATGGGCTCATTGTCCGTGTAGAAGGTTGTCCTCTCTAAACTTGCCGGTGTGATGAACAGGTCGCAGCCTCGGCTGGCCTTCTACGGTTTACTTTTCCTGAATATGACCAGGCTGACCGCTGTTCATCAACGAATGGTCAGCTGCCCTTCGTTTAGTGTTCTGCACTTGTGCTGAGCCTCGTGTTCTCAGCGTGACTCTTTCTTTGTCCCTTAGCGGATAGCTACTGTCTAAGTTAAGACTCAGTTTTGCTGGACTCAGGAAAGTGATTTCAGGGTTGCCTGGGTGGCTCAGTTGGTTAAGCGTCCAATTTCGGCTCAGGTCATGATCTCGCAGTTTGTGGGTTTGAGCCCCGCGTGGGGCTCTGTGCTGATGGCCAGCTCAGAGCCTGGAGCTGCTTCAGATTCTGTGTCTCCCTCTCTCTCTGACCCTCCCCTGCTCATGCTGTCTCTCTCTCTCTCTCTCAGAAGGAAATAAAACATTAAAAAAATTTTTAAAAAAGGAAAACGATTTCACTTTAGAACTACCTTTGGATTCCATGAGCGATTGTAACTGTTGCTTCTTTTAGTGACTCTCTGCATGTGCCAAGAGCGCTCTATGACAAGAGCAAGCTTATCCTGTTATTTTAATCGACAGAAATATTTGTGTCTGATAATTGGGCCCCGGGGTACAGTTTCAAGCCTGTGTTACTGAGCTTATCTATTTCTACTGGTCAAATTTCCTGATACGATGCTAGCGTTCCTCTTCCCTTTGAGTTATTTCGACTCCGGAGATCTTACAAAAGAAGTTTTAATTATGAGAATTTCCAGCTCGCAGAAATGTTAATTGCTTCTTCTGCCAGCGCGTGCTCCCTTGGTGGGGTTGGGATGTGCTGTGTGGGTGTTGACAGGGCCCTGGTGGGGGTGCAGACAGGAGCCAGAGGGGTGAGGAGGACCGAGCAGCCCACACAGCCTGGGGGGTGGGCCGGCCATAACCAGCAGCTGAGACATTGCCTGCGGCGAAGAAAGCTGAGGGTGTGGGTGGGGGAGACACTGGTGGGATGTCAGACGTGAGGCCCTTTGAGGTCATCTGTCCCACAGAAGGGCAGGGCCTGGCTCTGGACACAGGCTGAAAGGCAGGGGGCGGGCCTGCCGTCCTGAAGCGCTGGGAGCAGAGACCCTGGAATCCAGGGGAAATAGTGTGGGGACCAGTCCCAGCCCATCAAGGATAAAGGTTGTGCTCTTTCTGGCCTCTCACGGGCTCTGGGAAGGGGACAGACTTTTCTAGATGAACTGCTGACTGTGACCAGGACAGGTCAGTGACCAGCGTCCCCAAGGGTGGCAAGGGAGATACGGAAGGTTAAAAAGAACGGCCAAACACGCCTCTTGCCCATTTTGCCTCGGAAATAAGCCTGTCCAATCATTTTGTTTGTTTTACTTCTCTAAGCTCTTTTCTCCACTTCTACTTTGATGCGCAGGAAGGACTCAGTGATCAGTGCTCTGCTCGCAGTTACGCAGTGCACAGTTTTCTCTCACCAGCAGCATGACTTCTCTTCCTCCAGTGCCAAATTCGGTCTCCTTTCCCCACAGCATCTACAACAGAGGTGTCTGGTCGTCTCCTTAATGGGCCAAGTATTCGCCCGTGCAGTTATATACCCGTTGCAGTAATAAAAACCTGAGGGCCAGGAAGCCTATCTTGTTAGGGCATAC